TTCACTATCACCTTTTTCTTCTTTGGACACAGATCTTTCCTCAGGCATCACCACACACAAGGGATCAGCATCAAAATGAGGAGAGGGAGTAGGGTCAACACTGACCTGGGGCTCTGGAGAGGACCCCTGAGTTAGATCCTCCTGGAAGAAATCAGGTCCCTCATTTGGTATCCTAGTAGTATTGTCCTGTGCCGATTGTTCAACAGGCACAAGCTCTCTACCCTCTTTCACAGTCTTCGACTCTTCCCCCTGAGTCCAAAAACCATCATCACCTCCTTATATAACAACCCCTTCATGAGCTATGGACAACATGTTCTCTATTGCCTCTTTTTCTTGTACATCCATGGAAAACTCAGTAGAGAAAGGAGTGTTACCTGTGGACATAAGATCAGGAGCAGTGTTTGTTGAGTCAAACTTCTCGGAACTATCAGTTGGATCTACCTTTGACCCTTTTTTCATAGGCGAGCTTGAAATTTCCTGATTTTCTTCTTTGTCAGCACTACTCTGTTCATCCCCTTTTTTCGGCGAAGTAGGAGAAGGGCTTTGGGCTACAAATCTTTTGGGAGTCGAGATTTTGCGACTCCTATAAGAACCAGAACTCGAGTGGGTAGGAGATGAGATGGAATGTGGGGGTGACTATGTCCTAGGGTTTTGGTTAGCAGTGGTGTGGGGTGAGGAGTCTAATATCGGTGTTTCAATAGGTGAGGACTCAATGGGGATGTCACTTGGAACACTCGAGGTTGTTTGATTTTCAGCCATTGTGATAAGAAGAGAAGGGATTTGACAGTTTAAAGAGAGGCAGAAGAATGAGGTTTTGAAATTTGATGGGAAGAGTTATGACAGTGATAGATGAATTTATGATGGATGAGGGACCGGTTAAGAAAGGGCAGCAGTTTTGGGAGTTGGGTCGGTTCTTAATGGGTGAGACGTTTGGGTTCAAAGGACACAAGGAAAAAGTAATTGACATACTGATGATGTGGCATTTATTTTAACTGTTCAAAATTGTGCATGAGAGAACAGAGAAACTACTAACCTGTTGTCAGGAGAACCAGGTTCCCTAACTAATCTTGCATCTGTAAGCTTTGCCCTTTTTACCAGTGCGTACTGCATCAACTGCCTATTTGCTCTGTAATCATCATGCGTGTCTACCTGTAACGGTATAGAGGTGAGTTAGACTTTGCCAGAAAATACTTTTTAGCTAAATTTACCTGAACATTTATTTCATAGCCAATCATTGAGGGACCAGGTTCTCCATTGGGTTTTATCAACCCCAGTGCCAGGCGATTTTTCTCAAAGTGTTCTCTGCTTAGGGTTTTGGTGAAAATATCTGCAATTTGATCTTCAGTGCTGCAGAACTTCATGCATATAAGTCCTTTTTCAACATTGTCTCTGAGAAAATGATGACGTACATCAATGTGCTTGGTCCTCTTATATTGAACTGGATTTTTTGCCATATTGAGTGCACTTGTGTTATCATATATGAGAGGCACACAATCTGAGAGCACTCCAAAGTCTTCCAACTGCTGCTTGATCCACAGTAGTTGAGCACAGCAAGAGGCAGCTGCTACATATTCTGCTTCTGCAGTTGAGAGTGCCACTGAGTTCTGTTTTCGCGTACCCCATGAGATTAGGCAAGAACCTAGGAAATGTGCCATTCCAGACGTGCTTTTCTTGTCCATCAGATATCCTGCATAATCAGCGTCAGCATACTCAATAAGATCAAGGTTGTCACCTGAGGGATAGTAGAGAACCAGGTCCTGCGTTCCTTTGAGATATCTCAATATTCTCTTGGCAACCTTCAGATGAGATTCCTTTGGATTAGATTGAAACCTTGCACAAAGGCCCACGCTGAACACAATATCTGGTCTGCTTGCAGTGAGATACAAGAGTGACCCTATGATCCCTCTATACATGGTCTGGTTTACAGGGGAACCAGGTTCATCCATGTCTAGATGGGTAGTTATGGCAATAGGGGTGTCGATGACTTTTGATGCTTCCATGTCAAACCTTTTTAGCAATTCCTTGAAGTACTTCTAATGACTTATCAATGTTCCCTTCCCTTCTGACATCACTAGGATGATGTAAGCAAGGTAGATAAAATACACTCCCCATAAAGTTGACTGTTGCACTATTTCTGCACTGTAGCGTGTGCAGGCAGCAACTTTACAGCTGGGGCAGTTGACTTGTATTGTTTCCTCGGGAAACGATAGTTATCTGTTCCCTCTGTTGTTCCTCTAACTCTGAAGAGTCGAAGCATATTCCAAGCTGGAACCTTTCGATCTTAAGGTCTTGAGAATATGTAACTGGTTCCTTATCTGATTCTTGACAGTAAGTTTGTTAGATCATCAAAACATAAAGCAAGATACTTGTAACCTATCAAAACTTAACCACCCTCGCAAGTCATAATACACATTTCAAAGCTGCTCGAGACCTTAAGCCACCGAATGGAACACTAATTCTCAAAATTACAAGTCGGGTCGTTACAATACGACTAATATAAGGGAACTAATTTCTACTTCCTCCGTCTCAAATTATTTATCGTAATTTCTAAAAATTGATAATTCAAATTATTTGTCATTTTAACAGTTCAAGACAAAATTAATTAAATTTTTTTCATTTTATCCTTAGTAGTAATTATTCTTGAAGATGGAGATGGCACATAAATAAAGTAAATGTTCAATAAAGAAAGATTATATTAAAAACATGTATAAGGGTAAAATAGTCAAATTCCTTCTAACTAATATTTTCTTAAGGGAATATCAAATAGAAATACGACAAATAATTTGAGACGGATGAAATATTTATTAGTAATCAAGAGCCTTTAAATAGGTAGAAAGATGGTGAATTTGTTAATGTTATGAAACATTTATTTTAACAATAAAAACGTAACTCCTACCAAACAAATAATTGGTCAACGACAGAAATCTCATCAATTGAATGATGGTGAACAATTACAATTACAGATTTATTAATACAGAAGTTGCACAAATCTACAATGTCATTCATCTTTTTTACCCTTTAAAAAAATCGTATTGGACAAATATGTAATTTAAGTTACTTTTCCAATATTTAGGACTTTAAAATCAAGTAATTTTTTTTACTATTGCCTAATATTAGGAGTTCGAGATCAACTAAATAAGGATAAAATATATTAAGAAAAAATAAGAGAATATAAAAAGTAAAAAGTGAGTTTCTTTTCAATGGACAAAAAATATTATATATTCGTGTAAATTTTTGTGCATATATCGTACAAAGAGAATTTTATCGTGCAAGATCAATTTTGATCCTTTATTTTCCTTTCCATACAAAAATATTTTCTTGGCTGTTTAAATTATATTTTACTAAATTGTTTCAAATCTATAATTATTTCATGTGTTAATTTTCCTAATATTTACCTATTTAGGATTTTCAAATCAGGTTTATTTATCGAATATGTATTATTTGAACCATGTCAGAAGTCTTAATATGTAAAATTCAAAATTAATTAAAATTTTAATAATCTTTTACAAATTATTTCCTTAAGCAAATATTTAATCTATTTTGATATAAATTTCTATTTTTTAATAATTTGTTCTTCTTACATATAAATATATTTATTAATTGACGCGACACACACGTGCAACGTACGTACACTAAAACTAGTAATTCAAATAAGGAAAGAAAATTTTAGTTGATTTTAAAATCCTAAAAGTTAGGAAAATTATTTAATTACGATTTTGTTTAGTGTGAAACTTATTTTTAAAGGGTAAAAAAGGCGAACGATATTTCGCTAAGGGCCTTCATGCTTTTAATATAGTATAGATAGATATTAATATAGTATATAGATTTTTAGACTTGACACAAGGTCCATGTCATCGATACACATTAAGGGTGGTTTAGTCAAAAAAAATAAGTTATTCCATGATTAATTATCCCGGGATTAGTTATCCCACCCTCCCATAAGAATAAAAAATATTATAGTTTCGGGATAACTAACACGAGATTAGTTATATTAACATTCTCAAATTTAATATCGGATAAATTATCCCTTATCCCTCGTACCAAATGAGCGCTAAGGTGACTATTTTTTTTATGCGAAAAAGGGTCAAAATGCCCTTGAACTATTTGAAATAGCTCAAAAATGCCCTAAATTTATTTTTGGTACCAAAAATATCCTCGTCGTCTATATTTTGGACTACAAATGCCCTTAAACCGTTAGTCTTGTCATTGATGGTGACATGGCAGTCCAACTGGGTTAGATTTGCTTACATGACCATTCACCTAAGCAATCCAGCATGGCAAAAATATTTTTTCGAAAATTTTTATTAAAATACAAAATCAACACTTATTCCGAAAAAAGTAAAAAATTTCCGGAAAAATATTTATTTCTGAATTTTTTATTAAAATATTAAATCAACACTTATTCCGAAAAAAGTAAAAAAAAATCCGAAAAATAACCCCCAAATATTTATTTTTCCGGTTTTTTTTACTTTTTTCGGAATAAGTGTTGATTTTATATTTTAATAAAAATTCTTAAATAAATCATTTTTCCGAATTTTTTTTACTTTTTTCGGAATAAGTGTTGATTTTATATTTTAATAAAAATTCTTAAATAAATCATTTTTCCGAATTTTTTTTACTTTTTTCGGAATAAGTGTTGATTTTGTATTTTAATAAAAATTTATGAAATAAATAATTTTCCCGGGAAGTTTTTACTTTTTGGAATAAGTGTTGATTTTGTATTTTAATAAAAAATTTCGAAAAAAGATTTTTTCCGAAAAAATAATTTTGCCATGCTGGATTGCTCAGGTGGATGGTCATGTAAGCAAATTTAACCCAGTTGGACTGTCATGTCACATTCAATGGCAAGACTAACAGTTTAAGGGCATTTATAGTCTAGGGATATTTTTGGTACCAAAAACAAACGGATAACATTTTTGAGTTATTTCATGTAGTTCAAGCGCATTTTTTGGCCCTTTTCCCTCTTTTATGATTTGAGTATATTTTACTCAATTATAACTAGTATTAACATAAAAAATCATATGGATTTCATAGGAATCGCAAAGGTTCTTCAAGAAACCCCAATTTCTCCAAAGCTAGGGGTTTTCTACTACAAGGTAATTCTACTGCTCCCTCTTCAATTATGGAGTTCAAATGATGTTATTAAGTGTATCTGGGTATTGCAAATGTGATTAGAACATAGTATTATGAGATGTAACCCAAAAAGTGGGCTTGTGAAAGAGATGATGAATAATAACTTAAAGCTAAGGAATAACTCGGGTAATTGTTCTAATGGATCGTGAATACCATGTTTGGGTACTTTACTTATGGGAGTAATCGGGCACTGATTTTGTGATTTGCTGTAAAAATTTCAAAACTTCATTGTTGGTCCTTAGAAAACTGTGTTGAAGGATTCTTGTTGATACAGTAAAATTCCTTTTTAACTCTTTGTCCATGATTACAAAAATGAGAACTAGTACAATCATAACTGACGTGATTAATGCGAAGTAAACTATTCATGTTATCCTTAATCCTCAATTAAATTTACTACGAGGGTGTCTTCTGAGAAGTAAGCTTGGTGAATGACCTTCTATTGGGGGTTTCTACTTGCAACTTATCTAAATATTAAAAATTATTGACTTTTTTTAGCCTCTCTATTCCTTTTGAATTTCACCAAAAAGATTGTTCTTCAAGAGATATCCAGAAACTCCAAGCTTATCATCAATAGCTAACAAATGATTTCCGGATTGGACCTTTTAGTCTGTTATTTGCTGATCAATTCGTAACGAAAGCTGGTTTCTTGAAAGATCTAATTAATTTTTTTGATGACCCAACTAACTTCCAACTCTAATGTACCAGCAAGAGCACGTGAAGACATGTATAAATATAAAAAGAGGTTTTCAAATGATTTCATGAACTTGATGGCGATTCGATGTGAAGGGTAGCCTTGGAGCAACGGTAAAGCCGTAAAGTTGTCTCCGTGTGATCTATAGGTCACGGATTCGAACCGTTAAATCAGCCATTGATGTTTGCATCAGGGTAGACAGCCTACATCACTCTATTGAGGTGCGGGCGTGCGGCCCTTCCCCGGACTCTTCGTAAACGCGAATGCTTCGTGCACCGGGCTGCCTTTTTTTTTTTTATGGCGATATCGATGTCAATTTGTTTCAATCTAGCAACAGACGTCCCACGGTTATAGGGCATCACGTTTTGTGGAGATTAGAGGCTCACAATTGATGCAGGAAGAAAGCCATTTAAGCTGATATATAAATGTAGTCCCCTATAACTCCAAATCTTTGAAATCTTCCCAATTATAAGGAAGTAAAGATAATTTCATGATCGAGAATCACTTTACAGGTTATATTATCTCATTAGCAGAGGTTCCTTCTCTATGAGTAGCAGATTTGGTTCAATAATTATGGGTTCAAATCCTTGTAGTTACTTAACTATCAATTTCTTTCTTTAATCAGTTCTAGTACAAACAATGAAGTTCCTAATTAAATAGTATTAGCACATGTCAATGGTCGAAAGAGCTACTATAAGTTATTGGATGTTAACATGGCTGAAGAGGTGGTGAAGATGCTTTTTCATGTGTTAGCATTTATTACCAGATCTTTAACATTTTTTCAATCTTTTTTTTTTTCTAACATGAAGCTTACATAACTAAGTTAATAATTGCTAGCATTATGTTCTAATTAATGTAGAACTGTTAGCATTAATATCTTCTAAATTATAAATTTAATCAGTTTCAATACGGATAGATCATCAATGGAGAAAACATCCTCCTCCTTTCTGCTATTAGCATTTTTGTTAATATCTCTTCACATTATAGCAACGTCATGCTTAGCCATGAATATAAGCACCGATCAATCTTCTTTTCTTGCCTTGAAATCCCACATCACTTCAGACCCTTATCAAATTCTCTCAACGAACTGGTCTTCTAATTCTACCTCAATTTGTAACTGGATTGGAATCACTTGTGGCTCACGCCATCAACGAGTTACTGTGCTGAATATTTCAGACATGGGCTTGACTGGTACCATCCCACCACAATTTGGCAACCTTTCTTTTCTTGTTTCACTTGATCTAAGCTACAACAATTTCCAAGGTGAACTTCCACCAGAGTTCACTCGTTTGCTAAGATTAAGAGCCATTGATCTTAGTTTCAACTTCTTGTCTGGACAAACTCCTCAGTTATTGGGTGATTTAGAAGACCTTCGAATGCTCTCTCTGGAAAACAATAGTTTCAGTGGGTTTATTCCTTCTTCTATCTCTAAGATGAAGAATCTTGAATTCTTGAATCTGAAGTACAACAATCTGGAAGGAAATATTCCTATAGAAATAGCAACTCTTCAGAGATTGAAACAGTTTTCCTTGGGATACAATAAACTCAACGGATCCAATGTGCTTTCCATGTCAATATCTCAAGTACACTAGAAATTTTGGATCTAAGAAATGCTGGTTTAACTGGTGATTTCCCTTCTGATTTATGTTGTCGCCTTCCCAGATTACAAAGGCTTGGACTTAGCTCCAATATGTTAAGCGGAGAGCTACCAAGAAGCATATCTGAATGCGCACAACTTCAAGTCCTATTGTTGTTTCAAAATAACATTGTTGGAACAATTCCAAGAGAAGTAGGTAACTTACTGCTGCTGCAATATTTGGATCTTGGACAAAACAGGTTAGAAGGTAAGTGTTCTTACCATTTTTCTTGGGAGTTTAACTTATACAATTAAACCTCTTTATAACATTATCCCTATATAACAGTCGTTCACTATAAAAGTCAAATTTTTTCCGGAACCAATTTTTATGTTATGGTATAATATTTGTCCTCTATAATAGCACTTCACTATAATAGCAAAAAAATATCGGAACAAACGAGGCTATTATAGAGAGGTTTATAACCTGTTTGGCCAAGCTTCTTAGCTTGGAGGCTGTAGCTAATAGTGTTAATTTTTCAAATAAATGCTTATTTTAGAAAGTTGAGGTGTTTGGTTAAACTTTATAAATTTTGCATTTATATTAATTAAAATTATAATATACTTTGCAATTTTATAATCTTTCATAGTGGACACTTAAAATTGTTTATCTAATTAAATACTATTAATCGTAAAGGTCGAACTGTTCGCACAAGAAAATAAAATCAGGACAAGCAACTCATGGATTAATCACCTCCTTCCATGAGGTCAAGTTCGAATTGGTCTATTATGACAACCAATATGTTGCTTAACTCTATGGATATATAAAAAAGTCTAATATATTTATAACAACAACAACAACAACCCAGTATAATCCCACAAGCGGGGTCTGGGGAGGGTAGTGTGTACGCAAACCTTACCCCTACCCTGGGGGTAGAGAGGTTGTTTCCGAATAGACCCTCGGCACAAGAAGATGAAATGCGACAACAGAAAACAACAAGGTCTAATATATTTATATGTATCAAATTTTCTCTTTATTTGATATATTAAATTAGTTTAAGACATCTGAAAATTTTATTAAGTTAGTTAATCTAATGAATGAGGATTTATTAGTATCAAGAACTCAATTTAACCAACAAACGATTGAAATTTAATCATTAAATTTAGTTTTGTCTGAAGTAGTACAAGCTTTAAAATTCCACTTCAAGAACAATGTTTAGTAAAATATGTACGAATTACTATACTTATTATTTGAAGAGATATTAAAATATTTTCACTTATGTTGGCCAATTGCGAATATAATATCATTATATATGGTTTTGTTTGATTTTCCATGAGTATTATTGTATAGAAGTTAAATTAAGTATATGATTTTGTTTAAGTGATATTTCTGTTTAACAATTTGGCAGGCACAATTCCAGATGAGATTGGTCATCTTCATAACTTGAAGGAATTGAGGATGGAACAAAACGCATTAACGGGGTCAATCCCTTTAATCATATTCAACATTTCATCACTTGAAGTTTTATCAATGTGGAACAACCAGCTTGAAGGACCTCTACCAAAAAAAGTTGGAAATTTGACTATGCTTAACATACTTGATCTTGCAAATAATACCTTGACAGGTATGGAAAAATATTTAATCCACGTCCATTTAAGAATTTTAGTTTTTTGGATACTTCTGCTTATAAAAGGGCAAAAGGAACAGCCCGGTGCATAAAGCACCCGCGTTCACGCAGGGTCCGGGGAAGGGCCGCACCCCAAGGGGTGTGATGTAGGCACCGTACCCTGATACAAGCATCAATGACTGATTTCACGCCTTGAACCCATGACCTATAGGTCACCCGGAGATAACTTGACCGTTGCTCCTAGGCTCCCCTTCTGCTTATCCTAATATTTATTTTGTTACAGGTGTAATTCCAGATGAAGTTGGTAATCTTCAAGAGTTGGTTGGCCTTACATTGTATCTCAATAACTTTAGTGGATCTATCCCTATTGGTATCTCCAATATCTCAACCCTTAGAGCTATTTCCCTCACAAATAACCACATTTCAGGTAAACTTCCTTCCACTATAGGCAAAGGGTTACCTAATGTTGAAGGAATTTATCTATTTGAAAACAACATTAATGGTGTTTTACCTTGTTCCATCTCAAATTTGTCCAAGCTTGCTGTTCTCGAACTCGGTGGAAATGTTCAATTCCTGAGTCTTTAGGAAATTTAAGACAACTTGCAAGTCTCAACTTGTATGGTAACTCCTTCAAAAGTGACTTGAGCTTTATACGCCTTTGGCCAATTCAAAACACTTGTATAGATTGATATTGTCTTTCAATCCCCTAAATTCAATGCTTCCGAAATCCATTGGCAATCTTTCTTCTCTTCAAATGTTTGAGGCAATAGGTTGTAACCTCATGGGCCATCTTCCAAATGAAATTGGAAAATTGAGAAACTTATCTTCTTTGTTCCTGGAAGATAATGACTTGACTGGCGTTGTGCCAACGGCAATAACTTCTTTGAAAAAACTTCAACGGCTTTCACTTGGTGCAAACAGATTGATTGGTTCTTTCCCAAATGGTTTGTGTGAGCTATCCAACTTGGGTTTGCTAAATCTTTCACAAAATCAAATGTGGGGAAGTATTCCGAGTTGCTTAGGGGATGTGACTTCTCTAAGGGAGATTTATCTTGATTCCAATAACTTCACTTCTAACATACCTTCAAGTCTATGGAACCTCAAAGATACTTTGAAGCTGAACTTGTCTTCTAATTTCTTCAATGGGTCTCTACCACTAGAAATTGGAAATCTCAAGGATGCAATACTTTTGGATCTTTTCTGGAACCAAATCTCAGGCAACATTCCTAGTACAGTGGGAGGTCTACAAAAATTGATTCAATTATCATTGGCTCATAACAGAATTGAAGGATCTCTTCCTGCCACTATTGGGAAACTCGTAACTTTGGAAGCATTGGATCTTTCATATAACAATATGTCTGGTGTGATCCCAAAGTCATTAGAGGCACTTAAGCAACTAGGCTCCTTTAATGTCTCATTCAACAGGTTACACGGGTAAATTCCAAATGGAGGACCGTTTGTTGATCTCCCTTACCGGTCTTTCATGTCGAATGAAGGATTGTGTGGTAACCGTCAAAAGCATGTCCCAGCTTGTCCTTCTAATTTAAAGAAAAGAAGACTGATATGGATTGTAGTTGCCTCGTCAGTTATCTCTGTAATAGCGCTTGCTTCAGCAATAGTTTTCATGTTGATGAGACGTCGGGGTAAAACAGTCAATGCTGAAGATGAGTGGTTGCCCGAAGTAGCACCACAAAGAATTTCTTACTACGAACTTCAAAGAGCAACTCAGGGCTTTGATGGAAATACCTTGCTAGGTAGTGGAAGTTTTGGTTCTGTTTATAAAGGGACATTGGCAGATGGAATGATAGTAGTTGTTAAAGTTTTCAATGTGCAGATGGAAGGTACATTTCAAACATTTGATAGAGAATGTGAAATCTTGCGTAATCTTCGTCACAGAAATCTCACTAAGATCATTAGCAGCTGTTGTAACTTGGATTTTAAAGCATTGATACTTGAGTACATGCCAAATGAGAGTTTAGACAAATTGCTATATTCTCGAGATTATTGTTTAAATATAATGCAAAGATTGAATATCATGGTCGATGTTGCATCTGCTCTGGAATATCTCCATCATGGTTATTCAGTACCGGTTATTCACTGTGATTTGAAGCCTAGCAATGTCTTACTTGACAACGACATGGTTGGACACCTGAGTGACTTTGGCATTGCGAAACTTTTAACTAAGGAAGAATCTATTGCTCACACTACAACCTTTGCAACAATTGGTTACATTGCTCCAGGTGAATTCTTTATTTAACTTTGTAACAATGTAATTGATTAATGCAACAACAACAACAGACCTAGTGAAATCCCACAAGTTGGGCCTGGGAAAGGTAGTGTGTATGCAGTCTTACCCCTACCTTGTGAAGGTAGAAAGGTGTTTCCGATAGACCATCGGCTCAGAAATTCAAATACACAACATAGTCGAAAAGAGATACAATAATGGAATGTAATTGATTAACGCGTTATAAGTTTATTTGCTGACATATTTTTTATTTTTTTATTTTTTAGAGTATGGTTTGGAAGGCCTTGTATCCAAGACGTCTGATGTTTATAGTTATGATATCATGCTGCTGGAAGTTTTTACCAAGAAGAAACCTAATGATGAAATGTTCACTGGAGATTTGAATTTGAGAAGCTGCGTGCATAATTCGCTTCCTGATGAGTTGCATCAAATCATAGATACTGACTTACTAACATTGGATGAACAAAACTTAAGTCAAAAGCTACAATGTCTGACATCTATCATGGAGTTAGCCATGAATTGCACAGCTAATATTCCAGGTGAAAGGATGAACATGACTGATGTTGTAGCAGCATTGAAAAAGATCAAACAGCAGCTTTCTTCCTATTATTGAACGACTAAACGACGTAACATCAGGTACTTTCCATATTCCTGTGGGGAAAAAAGGCTATAAAAGTTCAGTAGCATTTAACCATCAGTAATTGTTTCCTCCAGTGTCATTGCAGGAGATTGTGTGACTATTTGAAGTTAGAAGGATGGAAGCTACAATTTTGTAGAGTACTCTACAAACATCACAGCCATGTTTGTAGAGTGTTCATGTGGCCAGCATTGTGTCCAAAAATATTAGTAGCATTACATTCCATAGTTTTTCTACCAAATGTAGTTCCTAAGATGTCTGCCCATAATGCATAATTAGAAAACACCGGAGGAACTGTCAAAATCGTTGGTTTGTCAANCATCACAGCCATGTTTGTAGAGTTGTCCAGGTGGCCAGCATTGTGTCCAAAAATTATTACATTCCGTAGTTTTTCTATCAAATGTAGTTTCTAAGATATCCCCATACTGCATCATTAGCAAACATCAGAGGAACTACCAAAATTCTTGGTTTGTCAAAAGAGCTTCACCTTTACCCCTTCTTTAGCTAGGAGGTCGGTCACCCGGTTCTGCTCTCTGTAACTATGGCTGATGACTGGGTTCCCCAGTCGAGCCATCAATAACCTGCATTCAAAAATAATGGGTTTATAAGGCAAGTGTCCTGATTTCGACATATTAATAACTTCCATAGAATCCGTGTTAATGTGTAGTGGAGTCAAGTTCAGTTCCACTGCAATCTTAAGACCCTGAAACAACAACAACCACCCAGTATAATTTCACAAGTGGGGTCTGGGGAGGGTAGTGTGTACGCAGACCTTACCCCTACCCTGGGGTAGAGAGGCTGTTTCCGATAGACCCTCGGCTCCCTCCCTCCAAGAACTCTTCACCTTGCTCTTGGGTGACTCGAACTCACAACAAGTATTTAATTCAGCCGGTTATTCATGAAGCCTACTACCCAATCACCTTTATTCTGAAAAGAGATTAGTTCCTTGTAGTTACTTATCTAAAGTCACGGTTTTACCTTCTTTTGGCCTTAAGGGGTCGTTTGGTATGCGGACTAAATTATCTCGGGATTATACTCCCTAGATTAATTTATCTCACCTGGGAGATGGGATAATATAATCCCAAATTTGATGGGATAAGGTGGGATATCCTGTATTAAGACTGGGATAAAATTTATACCATGTTTGGTTGGCGATATAAATTTACAGGATAAATTTATGCCGTCAATCAAATATGGTATAAATTTAATCTCACATCTTATCCCACCTTGTCTCGCATACCAAAACGACCTCTAAGAATATAAGGTGAAGGACAACATGAGTAAAACAACGTCTATAGCTACTGATAAATGTATATTCAATAAGAAAACTGTGAAGACTAATACAGACTATGAGTTCATGCAAATTAAGAACTCATAAACTTAAAATCCTGGCTCAGCATTTGATTGAGATGAGACTCTCTATAATGTATAAACACAAAAGCTAGCTTGTGAGACAGTATAATCCAAAATTTTATAAAGAGACAAAAAATACATCGCTCATATAATGTGGGCACTTAACTGATGGTACTTATATTCATATATTTTTACTTTCACATTATAAATAAATATGCAATACATTGGCTCATTTATATATTGAACCATTCAAAACACTCTTATGGTACCATATCACCCTTCTTTTTTTGTTGATAAAATCAGTCCAATTTAATTTTCACTTCATCTTCATATATTCCATCATTGTGACACTGACTTTGAATTCTCATGCATTGTAGCTGCTTTATGTTACATGTACCTTGCTCTTCCTTTCTCAGTATTTCACGTGAAAGCGGTGGCGTAGCTAGAAATATCGCAAAATCATTTGAAAGTACGTAATTGCTTGAGCAACTTTTTATAACCATCATTTGAAAAAACATTTTAGAGAAAAAATGTTAGACCGGAAGAATAACGTGTTTTGATTATTGTATTTTATTTTTGTAAGTGTTTTTTTTCAATTGAATACGATTTTATTTGCTCAAAAAAATCATTCAAGTCATTTCTTCAAGTGTTTTTAATTTGTTTTTAAGCGAGGTGGACGGACAGGCAAGATAAGTTAATCGAACAGTTATTTTATGTCCACAAAAAAATAAAAATTAAACTCAAGAAAATTAATAAACTTAACTTATATGCACTAAGATTTTTAAAATGTTGTACTTAATTAGATCGCATATATGATAGTTATAGATAAATTTTTATAGTAAGTATTATTTAATAAAGTGATGAAAATTATAGCTAATCTATTACCACAAATTAAAAATTTAAATTCTATGATAGCGTAATAATTTTAATACTAACTTTTGTTAAGGGGACGTTTGGTTTGCTGTATAGGATAAAATAATCATTGTATAAATTATACATTTTTTATTTCTTTGTTTGGTTACTGTTTTCTTTCCTGATATAAGTAATTCTTGTATAAGCTTATACATGAGCCATTATATTATTTTATACCACCTCCATGTGGGAAAAGCAAAATATGGAGTAATTATACATAGAGATAATCAAATTGACAAAATCACCCTTCTCTTGAAATCTTTTCCCTAATACCCTTGGGCATTTGTCTTTCTTTAAGGACCATGGTTATAATCAAAGATAAAAATCTACCCAACTTAAAATCAAGGCTGAATACATATTATATACATAAACATCTAAAGTTGTCACGGTTTTTTATTTAGACACCTTAAATAAAACTTGTCTTGTTAAACAACTGTAGTAGGCCTAAAATGTTTCAATCAGATACATTCATGATGATAGTGTGAGTTGTAACTATAGAGTGCTTGTGTTCATAGTCAACTAATGCTTTAGGAGTACTTTTGACTCGTAAATATATGTTCACTCACTTTCATCTATTAATTACTCTACAACAACAATAACATATCAGTAATATCACACACTGTGGGGTCTATGAAGGGTACGCAGATCTTACCCCTACCTTGTGAGGATAGAGAGGTTGTTTCCAATAGACCCTCGGCTCAGGAAAATATAAGCACCGCATTAATAAAAATATAGACAAGAAGGGACAGTACCAAAAAACCATATAAAAGTAAAATAAAAATAACAAGACACTAAGGTGATCAACAATGAAAGACAACAACGGTTAGTCATAAAAACCTACTACCAACAGAAAGCGAGACTGCGTGCCAATACTACTATTATGAACACCCTAGACTGCGCCATGTCTTGCCTGGTCACCTCTCCCCACCTTTTCTTTGGGCTACCTCTACCTCTTCGTAGACCCTCCAATGTCAACCTCTCGCCTCTCACTAGTGTGTCTGTGGTCCTCCTCCTCACATGACTAAACCACCTAAGCCGCGTTTCCCGCATCTTGTCCTCAATAGGGGACACACCCACCTTATCATGAATAACCTAATTTATGATCCTATCTAACCTGGTGTGCCCACACATCCATCTCAACATCCTCATCTCTGTTACCTTCATCTTTTGGACATGAGAGATCTTGATTGGCCAACACTCAGCCCCATACAATATCGTTGGTCTGACCACCACTCTGTAGAACTTACCCTTAAGTTTCGGCGGCACCTTCTTGTCACACAAAACACTGGAAACGAGTCTCCATTTCATCCATCTCGCCCCAATACGATGTGTGACATCTTTATTAATCTCCCCACCCCCTGAACAATAGACCCAAGGTACTTAAAACTCCCTGTCCTAGGAATGACCTGCGAGTCCGGCCTCACCTCCCCTTCCCCTCCTTGAGTTTCGCCACTGAACTTACACTCCAAGTATTCTGTCTTAGTCTTGCTCAACTTGAAACCTTTAGATTCCAGGGTCTGCCTCCATATGTCTAATTGTGCGTTCACACCATCTCGCATCTCGTCAATCAGTATAATATCATCTGCAAATAATATGCACCACGACACCTCCCCTTGGATGTAGCGCGTCAGTACATCCATCATCATAGCAAACAAAAAAGGGCTGAGTGCCGACCTCTGATGCAACCCCATCATAACCGAAAAATAGTCTGAGTCCCCACCCACCGTCCTCACTCGGATTTTTACTCCATCATACATGTCCTTAATCAGCCTAACATAGGCAACAAGTACACCTCTAGCCTCTAAACATCTCTACAAAATCTCCCTCGGAACTTTATCGTACGCATTTTCTAAGTCGATGAACACCATATGCAAGTCATTCTTTCTCTTCCTAACAAGGTGGATGACTTCTGTAGTCGAACGCCCTGGCATAAATCCAAACTGGTTCTCGAAAATAGACACACTCCTCCTCACCCTTAGCTCTACCACTCTCTCCCAGACTTTCATAGTATGGCTAAGCAGCTTGATACCCCAATAGTTATTATAATTTTGGATATAATCCTTTTTCTTGTATACAGGAACCATCGTGCTCCACCACCACTCGTCGGGCATCTTCTTCGTTCTAAAAATGACATTAAAAAAAGTAGGAGACATGATAGAATTATTATGTAAAAAATTAAGGTAAAGGATAAAATATATTTATTTAATAATAAGGAAGGGCAAGATGAGAAAAAAAAATAAGATAACAACACGACCATACCAAATTAGTCGTTACATAAAATGACACTTTTCATCGTTATGTAACGACATATTTAACGATACGATACAATAAAATTTAAGTAACAATCAAAATAAATATTGTATCTAAAGTAACAATAAAGTACAATACAATACAATACAATAATAACCATCCAAACAAGTTGTTAACCAGTAGATGTATAATATGTGTATAACCGTATATAATTAGTGTATAAATTGTGTAGTAAAAATATAAGCAGTAAATCCGACCAGCTATTTGGGTAACAATCCCAATAAATAACTACTACTCAATGAGTTATCCGGAGCACAAAACTGACCCGAGTAAGAACCCGTTTCTTGAGGCCCATTAGCCCAAAAGTATTTCTCCGAAACGTATATAGCCGTTATTATACGTTAACATTCAACCAGAAACTCAAATCCTTCTCTCTGAATTCTCACTGAAGAAATTCTAACGCGCTCTCTTCTCTCAGAAATTGCACTGCGGAAAACGCCATTAACACTATTCTTTCTCTCTTTCATTGTTTCTCAATTTTGCGTTTTCCCCTTTTCTTGTATTCACTTTTGTAGTAATCGTTTGAGTATCCAAAGATTTTAATTGGCTGGGTCTGTATCTATGGATGCAGGGAGTAGATACAACAACAAGTTTCGCCGTCCTCTCTTTACTCCGATATCTCACAAGAAAACTTCTCGAGAGAATGTATGATTTCTATTTCCCTGTATATATATACGGTTTCTTGAGTTTGTGTCATGATTTCTTCGCTCATTAAATTGGGTTCGATAAACCCAACTAATTTAGGGTTTTGGGCGTCGTTGATAATTGATTGATAATTAATTGATATTTTTTCTTGGCTCGTTAATTGCAGTGAATTAGTGTATCCTTTTTGATTTTTGTTTTTGGGTTTTGTGCGTTTTGCTTAATTTGTGTGCAACTTGGAATTCCTCTTACATTTTTTCCCCTGTAATTACGTGGATTTTCTTTTTTTATTTTGTTTATTATCATGCAATCTTAATTATTGAACATATTTTCTTGCGATCTGGTTTTGCTACATATTTTCCAGTTTTTCCTGTTATGCATCTTAAATTGTATGTCAATGTTGTTAACTGATCACTTCTACTTTTGTTTAATAATTGTTTTCGGATGTTTTTACATTTTTATTTAGAGAAAGAAGTTAAGAGTATGGGGTTTATGGAAGATGAAGAAATTCTTTTGGACTAAAATTTATTCCTAAAATGTCAATCAAACTTAGGAAATTGAAATAGGAAAATAGGAAAAGGTTATGTTTTTGCTTTGAGCTTTCATCCATCAAAATAGGGAAAAAAATGGTGTTAGGTGTTTTAACATGTACAGATGAAGTTTCAGCTCTTTGCGTCACGTAATCCTGTTTTATGTGGTATTCTAATGATTATTCTCATTGTTTTTATAATGTCAGCATTATGTTGTGTTTTGCTTTTTATATGAAATTTGCTGTTAGGTTGGATTCTAAATGCTAAGTTTTTTTGTGAAATGCAGTTGGACAGGTTCATTCCCAACCGTTCTGCGATGGATTTCGACTATGCACATTACATGCTCAGTGGTGGAAAGGTTAAAAAGGAAAATTCTGGAGTAAACTCTGCATCTAAAGAAGCCTACACAAAACAGTTAGCAGAAATTTTTAACATGAATAGAACAAGGATCCTTGCTTTTAAGAATAAGCCTCCTCCTTCAGCTGAGAGAGTTTCTAAATCTCCATCACCTATTCAACAGTCAAAGACCACTAAAAAGAGGAGATTCATTCCCCAAGTGAGTATTTCTTTCTTCCCCTTTTTAACTACTCCCTCCATCCCAAAAAGGATAATACTTTTTGGATTTTGAGAGTAAACGAATTGTTCTTTCACCACGACTTTTTCATATACCTTTTAAATATTTGAATTGTTAATTGTTGTGACTTATAGTACTTTATATGTAGTTTCCAAATATATAAATTTTATTTAGAAAAACTTAAAGATTCTATGTCCGAATTCCTGGTCAAAGTTAAGAAGTTTGATTCTCGAAATCCGCAAAAGTATAATCCTTTTTTGGAGGAGGGAGTATCATGTTAGTGTAAATTAAATGCTTTTTTTCTTGGCTTTTGTTCCTAACTTAGAGAAGTCCTTTGATTGTTAACAGACTGCTGAGAGGACGCTGGACGCTCCTGATATCCTGGATGATTTTTATCTCAATTTGTTAGATTGGGGATGCAGTAACATTGTCGCCATTGCCCTAGGAAATTCTGTATATCTGTGGGACGCTTCTGATGGTTCTGTTACTGAGCTTCTCTCGGTTAGTGATGATTTAGGGCCAGTTACTGGTGTCAGCTGGGCACCAGATGGAAGACATCTTGCATTGGGCTTGAATAATTCCCATGTTCAGCTGTGGGACTCCCGTTCCAGCCGGTTGGTGAGTAGATTCTTTCGTCTTCTCTCTCCATAGTCTAATTAGCATACAGCAAATTACTTCTCTTCCTTATTAGAAGTCTAATATCTTTTCTTTATAAACAGCTGAGGACTTTAACGGGACACAACTTAAGAGTTGGCTCTCTTGATTGGAATGGCCACATACTGACAACTGGAAGCATGGACACTATGATCATCAACAATGATGTACGTATAAGATCCCACGTCGTTGGAACATACAGGGGGCACAATCAGGAGATATGCGGATTGAAGTGGTCTGCTTCGGGCCAGCAATTGGCTAGTGGAGGGAACGACAATTTGGTCCATGTATGGAGTCTATCTATGGGGTCACTGAACTCTACACGCCAATGGATTCATCGTATGACGGACCACACAGCTGCTGTGAAAGCTATTTCCTGGTGTCCTTTCCAGAGTAACATGGTCGCCTCGGGTGGTGGTGTTGGCGATGAGTGCATTAAGTTTTGGAACACCAACACCGGGGCGTGCTTGAACTCTGTGGATACAGGTTCACAAGTCTGTTTGTTGCTTTGGAACAAACACGAACGCGAGCTTTTGAGTTCTCATGGCTTTACTGATAACCAGCTGACAGTGTGGAAATATCCTTCGATGACAAAAGTTGCAGAACTTTTCGGTCACACATCAAGAGTTCTTCATATGGCTCAGGTATGATTGGTTAATGCAAATGCTATGTCACGTTCATTTATGCTTATGTTTCTTTGTGCTTCACAGTTTACTGACTTTTTGTGTAATATATTTCAGAGTCCAGATGGCTATACTGTCGCGACTGCAGCAGCTGATGAGACACTAAGATTTTGGAATATTTTTGGGAATCCTGAAGAGACTAAGCCTGTACCAAAGAGAAAACTAGAACCATTCTTTGACTTGGCTCAGATTAGATAAAACTATTAGGTATGTGATAACTGTTGGAATGTAGTCACTGAGGATAACTATTGGCACATTTTTATCTTGCACCATTCCGGTAACAAAGCTGCTTGGAGTGACAAGGGAAGAATCGGTGAAGTCCAGACGTGAAAGTAGCTTGTTTATACTTTGATGGATGTGGTTACCAAGTGGTGTAATGACATTTGATGTATTGCAAAAATAGTGTTCAGATTCTACTTGAACGAACCTTCTCTAGATGAGTTTTGGCAAATGTATAGTAAGACTGTATAAAAGTTAGTTTTGGGACCTTTATAGTATGTCATTATAATGTATTACCGTTAGTGTGATCTTCTGAAAGTTCATAAACTGAATTATGATAATTTTTGCATTTGATGTATTATCTTGTTTAGCAATAAATTGTTCAGAGTCTGCTTTGAGCAGACTTCTCTCTCTATTGCAAGTGTATTTTTGTTATATTGAATGTATAGACAGTTTGTGGGAACTTTTGAAGTATGTCATTTAATATTACCATCAGTTTGATTTTCTTATACTTTATTTTAATTCAATGAGTTGTGGATAACTTCTAAAATGAATCACGGAAGATAGCGAAAAAAATGGTGTGTAATTTTTATTTATTTATCTGAACAAAATTATTCAAAACTTGTGCTGAATCGAATCTCATCTTTTGACTTTTTCCTTATATGGCAAAAGTCAGAGTGAAATTCTAAATTCAAAAGCATACCTTTGTTAGAAGTGATCCCCGCCTTCCTTTTTTGATTAACCCGTTAGTTCATAGCTTTGCTGCTTTATTTCAGAGTCGAGTTACCACGCTCTTAAAAACTTAATTAACAAATATTCAATAAATTAAGCAAGACACACCAATTTGACCTGAGTATTACAATAATAACAATTACTACATCTTTATTCCAAACAAATCCGAGGTGGGATATATAGATACTAATTCTATCTATGTGAATTGCTATATTGTGGATTCCAAATCTAAAAAAAGAATAGAGTTGTAATAGAATGACAATCACTCCAAAATCTACAATTAGTATAATATAAAATAAATTCATACTAACATTGAACAACAATAACAACTCAGTATAAACTCACTAGTGAGATTTGAGGAGGGTAGTGCGTACGCAGGTTTTACCCCTATCTTGAGATAAAGAAACTGTTTTCGATAGAATATCGGTTCTCTCCCTTCAAGAAATCTCCACTATGCTCTTAGTTGTAATTCGAAAACCTTTTGTTTTCGTACTAACATTCGAAAGATAAAGAAAATTCAGATTAATTGTTGCATCAATTGGTCCCCCCTTACCCTTCCGACCTCAATAAAGAATAGAGTTGCAGTAGGATAACACCACCCCAAAATCTACAACCATAATACAAAATGAAATCATATTAACATTTGAAAGATAAAGAAAATACAGTAGTTGTTACATCAATTGGACCACAGCAAGACATGACAGAAATACCCCAAGCCCCCGCCCCCCTACCCCACACATCCTCCTTTATTCCCCCATGTCCCAATGCTTCCCTTAACCTCAACACTCATAAAAACTCTTCCTTTAACTTCCCCAAAATCCCCCTCCACTTCGGTCTTTCTCTGCTAAAACACAATGTCAACCTCAAAATCTCCATTTGACTAGTTCTAACTACCATATAATCAAACCCCACCTTAACAAAGTACACTATCAGTCTTCACTTTCTTTCCTCAAAAACTTTTATCTCTGTTCTTCTTGCAGGTTTTATCCAAACCCTAGATCTGTCTCCCTTTTAGGTAACCCCAACTACCTCTGCTCTCTACCAACACACACACACACAGAGTTATACACAAAACACACAGTTACGCAAAAAAGACTGATTTTTTAGGTAACCCCATCAACCTCTGCTCTCTACACAACACACCACTCACACAGTTACACCAAAAAGACTGTTCTTTTTCAATCTTAGCATGTAAATATAATTTTATTTGTATATTAACTGCTACTGTGTTCTTTTTCGGATGCAGCATTTTGTGGAGGGAAAAGGGTGTAAAATGAGTGGGACATCGACATCATTGGGGGTAGGGGTGGGAGG